TACTTGAGATAGGGTTCCAATTCCCAGGAGCTGAACATTTACATTCTGAGGAGGCCAATACAGATGCCAAGATTCTGGGGTAATGATACTTACATCAGCACCTGTGTCCAGCAGACCAGTAATAAAAATGCCATTTACACACACTCTCAGTTTAGGTCTTTGAACATTTATAGAAGTTTGCCAAAAACACACGTAACTTATCTTTCTGATCATTATTGCTGTAACAGTAGGCATGGGGCTTCCTAATTGTCCTGATGAGGCATGTTCTCTGCAGAAACTGGAAATGACTGAACCATGTTTGCCATGGGGGCCTGTGAGGCCCCCCCTCTCACGTTTCCTGTCTGTATCAGGTTGCCTTGTCTATCTCTTGTAGGTCTGCATTCATTTGTCCAATGTCTGCCCTTTCCACATCTTCTACATAAAACTGAAGGCTGAGTCCTTCTATTTCTGTTATTTCTAGAAGATGCATTATTATTATTATTATTATTTCTGAATGATGCATTATTATTATTATTATTATTTCTGAAAATCCATTGTCTACAATTCCTTTTCATATGACCCATTTTGCCACAATTAAAACATTTGGTGTTCTGGTGTCTCCTTTTACCATTGGAAATTGCTTCTTCTACCCATGCTTCAGTGCCATAATCAAATGTATCAACATTGAGTGTATGCAAGGCCCATTCTTTCAAGGGCGCTGATCTGAGCTTTAAAGGGCCCCAAATCCTTTTGCATTCCACATTTGCATTTTCATAAGCCAAAGAATCAATCATTATACATCTTGCTTCTGGGTCAGATATCCCTATTTGTACAGCCTTAGTTAATCTTTGTAAAAAATCACTAAAGGGTTCTCTCTGACCCTGTTTAAGTCTGACAAATGATTCCATTCTCTGTCCTGGGTCTTGTACCCTGTCCCAAGCCCTTAAGGCTGCTGTAGTACACATGGAGAGTGTGTTTTCATCCAAATTAGCTTGTTCCTGAGGGTTGGAAAAGAGCCCTTCACCTGGAATTTTATCTAGGGAAATGCCAATTCCCTTCGCTTTCTCCTGCTGTTCTAAGAGTCTAGCCTCTTGCCTGAATAAGCATTTCCATTTCAATTGCGGTCCACTCTCATGTACCGCAGAGCTCAGCTGGAGCCAGTCCGAGGGGTTGCTCTGCTTGTCATTGCCCAAGTTCTTAGCATCTCTTTAACAAAAGAGGCTTGCATCCCAAAAGTCATGACAGCCTGTTTTATTTCCTTGAGATCATTCATAAGGACAGGCTCCCATGTATCCTCCTTGATGACCCTAGGGATTTTTTAACCAGTCACCTTCTCTGTTGTTATTACTGGAAAGGCAGGTAGAGCTGTAGGTAGAGCTTTGTGGAAATTGTCCTGGAGAGATTTACCCATAGATGTAGTTAAAATTTGCCCTTCTACCCTTTGCTCTTCTTCATCAGAATTTAGAAATTCCTCAATCTTTTCAATTCTATTCACCATTGCGTTCTGCAATGTCTGAATCTCCTGTACAGAATTATGTTCCAAAGCCTTCATTGAGGATTCTAAAGTATGGAGTTTGTCCATTAGAGATAACATCTCATCTTTGGACATAATTTTTATGGCATAAACCGTGCCTTCTTGTATTGACAATCTTTCGGTCAATCTGTCATAAGCTTTAGACAAAATCCGATTGTCACATTCAGCAGTTTTGATTCTCTCAGTTAATGTTTCATTTCCTACAGAAAGGGACTGAAGCTTAGGATCCAAATCAGCTGTTCCCTCTTCCATAGTAATGAATTTCTTCTTAACATCAGCCTGGAGAACTTCAAACTGATTCTTGGTAAGATTGTTGTCATTCTCAATTGTTTTTAAGCGTTCAATCTCTGCCTTAAGAATCCTGGATTCATCTCCTAAAGACTTTATCATATTTCTATTATCAAACCATTTAGTGCCAATGAAAACTACGAATCCCAGAAGGATCCATAGATGTGGGGTGATAGACACCTCTTGTAAAATCTCCCACATGGTACAATTAAAAAAACTGTTAAATTCTTGAATACTAATGTGTTCAGACATTTTATTTATAAAAGAAAAATTATTTTACCTGCAATGATCGGTTCCTGCCAATGGTGGTCTCTGTGTTTTTTGAGCCTGTCCTAGAACTAGCTCTTGTAGACCAGGCTGGCCTCAAACTCACAGAGATCTGCCTGTCTCTGCCTCCCAAATACTGGGATTAAAGGCGTGCGCTACCACCGCCTGGATGGCCTCAAACTCACAGAGATCTGCCTGCCTCTGCTTCCCAAGTGCTGAGATTAAAGTCGTGCACTACCACTGCCTGGCCAGCCTCAAACTCACAGAGATCCGCCTGCCTTTGCCTCCCAAGTGCTGGTATCAAAGGCATGCGCCACCACTGCCTGGCCAAGTCACTTTGTATCAGACCAAATCTGCCACTATGGCGGCTTTTGTTGCAAAACTACAGGTACTTGAGCTTCTGCTAATTCAGGCAGTGGGGTTCCGCTGCAATCTTATCCAAGGCAGGTAGAATGGGCCTGTGTGGCTGAGTATGTCTCAGACTCGGCACTGGGGCCCGAGTCACGAACTAAAAAATAGCCGGGGGGGGGGGGGGGGGGGGGGGGGGGCTGTGTTAGCTAGAGGGCTAGGGCTACCTGCTTGAGTCGGGGGCAAAATAGCCCAATGTTGGACGCCAAAATGTAACGGCGTAAACGAATGCAGGCAGATTGTAAAAATATATATACAGCTTTAATGGCGAAATAGACTTACAGAACCACCATTCCCGCGGAGACCAGGAAAGCAGAAGGGACGGCTGGGAGCATGCTCGCCAAATTTATAGGCAAACATTAGCCCGAGGAGAACACGCCCCCCAAGGGGCGGGACTTATCCCTACAATGAGTTCCACAAAACACAAAGCTAACTGTCATAACATATATGCAGAGGACCTGTTGAAGACCTATGCACACCTGTGCTTGCCTCTTCAAACTCGGTGAGCCCATGTGAGCCCTGCTTAGTGATTTTGTGGATTATGGTCTCCTAGTGTCTTCCATCACCTTTGACTGTGTGTCTCTGCACCTGATCCCTTCTGCTGCTGGAGAAAGCCTCTCTGATGACAACTGGAAAAGGCACAGATCTACAGATGTATGAGTATAGCAGAATATCATTAGGAATTATTGACTTTTAATTTATTATTTATTTATTTTTGCCAGTTCTGTTTGGTTATACCCTAAGTCTATGGTCTATGCAATCTTCAGTTCTTAACAATCCAGGCAGCATAGGGCATGGATTCCCTCTCATGAAATGAGCCTCTAGTTAAAGCAAAAAATGGTTTAGCTTCCACACATTCTGCACCGCTATTGCCCCAGCTCATCCTGTAGGCAAGACAGATTGCAGATCCTTAATTTGTGGCTGGGCTAGTATCCAGGATTCTCCTTCTGTATCCTGAAAAGTATCTTCCCATGCCAAAGAGACTAGAACATAGGGCTGAAGGCTTCATGCAGGCTCGACTGATGGAGATTTTTCAGGTGGACTGGGGGTATATGGGGATAGGATGGGAGGTATCAGGTGTGGTGGGCATAGATAGACAGAGAGAGTGCAAGGAAAGACAGGTGGAATTGGGGACAGTGTAGAAACACCACGAAGTGGAAATTTCCTGGAATCTATTAGGGTGACCCTAGTAATGATGCTTCGAAATGGAGGATATGGAGTCTTACGTGGAAATATTTTATAGCTAGGCAAGACTTCCCATGGTTGGCCAAGTTGCGTGGTGGAGTTGTTGACTGATTCAATTCATAACTAGTTTGTTTTATTGTTTAGTGAATCTATTTCAAATATATTTACTAGCAGACTTTTTTACAATCAAACATATTCATATTTTTCAAAGTTTCTTCATTTTATTACTGAAATACAGAAATTTCAATGCATAGATTAACTGAGCTCTTATGATTCTTCTTCTAAACTTTAATGCCAAAATACTAGTAACTGAGTTTTGTTGAATCCCAAGGTTATATCCCTGGGAACATTTACTTGAAATAAAAAAGTTGCCATTCCCAAGTATAGAGGAAACCACTACATAGTTCATGCAAGTCATATAAGAAATTGTTAAGCATAATTAATATTGATAGCCAAATTGTTAGGCTCTCATAAAAAAAGAAATTCCTATTATTGCTAGATATCTGTCTTAAACAATTCTAAAATACCTTATTTAAGATTCTATTAATGTCTTAGTATCTGAAACTAAGAGATAATGTCAGTTAAGTGCCCAGGACATGTAAAAGAAGATTCTTTAAAAATAAAAAGTGAGAATAGATAGGATTTGCAGTTTTCTTACAGGAAATAATATTCAAAAATAAAATTAACACTGAAAAATGCCCAATTTCAAGCAAGTAGATAATATCTTCTTAAAAGTTGATATATTTACATAAACAAATTTTTACCTAGCATTAAAAAGTAAAAATCATTACACATGTATAAATATAAAAATGTGATGCTAAAGTAAAATTCCCTTAATAAAAATACTAAATATTGTATAATTCTATTTGTGTGAAATGTCAAGAAAAGAGAAATCTTTAATGGCAGAGTAGAACAATTATTACCAAGGAACAGACTGCAAATAGAGACTGTCTGCAAATATTTGTGGAGAATATTGTGGAAAAATTGAGATGTTTAAAATGGATTTGTTGTCATGCTTAAAAAAATTGTACAAAATTACTAAAAATTAAAATTATATTTAAAATATAGTAATTTTATTGCTTGCAAATTACACATCAATTAAGGCTTTAAAATAATGATAATGTATCCATAGAGAGAGTCATAGTGCTGAAAGAAACAGATACCAACTTATACATCTGTTGGTAGCAATCTGGTTCTCTAGTTGATGGATATGACATAATTTGAGCACTCATAATTTAGTTTTAAAAAGAAAATCATTATATATGTCTATTAGAAATAAGTTGGTGAAATATTTGGATTGCCAGTTTGTGAACCATCTGACATTAATTTTTCCTTACAGAAGAAGTACCACCTCAAATTCCACTGATGAAATCACCCATGGACAAGATCCATTTGGCTCCTGGACAGGCATTGTCCCCTGGATTCCCTGGACCATTCATTTTTGCTGATAATCTGTCCTCCGTGGAGACACTGTTGACCAACATTCAGGTCAACAATATTTCTATAAACAAAATAAATGTAATAGAAGACATTAGCACCTACATAAATTGTATCCTATTTGAGATTTTAAAACAGATAAGATGAACTGCATGCCATTTTCTGTATATGACAGGGTCTACTGAAAGTGGCTTTGGATAACACTCGCATCCAGGAGAAGCAGATTCAGCAAGAAAAGAAGGAACTTCGAATAGAACTCTAAAGAGAAAGAGAAATTAGAGAAAACCTGGAGAGACAACTTGCAGTTGAGCTTCAAAGCAGAAGTAAGTCGAACAAGTTAAATTAAATGGTGAATATTATATTGAAAATTATTTCCTTACTTATAAAAACATATCCTAGGATAGCTTATAATTGCTAAAAATAAATAACATACTTAACAAACAGCGGTAACTAAGTCACATACTATTAAGATTTTCTCTAAGAGATAATAAGCAACATTTGTATTTAAGACTAGTTACAGATTTGAAAACATACATTGCTATGATATTCTCATAATCTGGTAAATTATATCTAGGCACAGATATTGTCACCTGGTCTCATGTATAAAATATTTACTTTTCCATAGTCAGGGTGCTATATTCTGTAATTATAAAGTAAATGAAACCCAGTCTCTCCCTTGGAAGAATTTACATTGTATAAGCCTAACACAGCCAGACAATTCTAAAACAAAGTGACAAGAGTGATCATGCAAAATCTGTTTGGTATCAAAGAGATTAATTTAGCTTGTTGAAATTGTATACTGTTAAAAGAATATCTTTTGAAGTTGATGCCTTAATCTGAGCCTTAAAGAATCAGTACTCAAAAATAAAAAGGGCATGCAAGCATTCAGTTTGAAGCATTGTGTATTCATTAGTATAGGCATGGAAACAAAGAAAAAACTTTATACACAAGCGAAAGTATACACTTTGATTTTTGAGTGCCGTTGATTCTAATGAATTGCATGGTGAGAAATGATGCAGAGAGATAGGAGTACAAGTGAAATTATGAAGAGTTTTAACTGTGTAAATGATGAACTTTAATTTTACCTTGAAAACAATGGAATGTATCAAAAGTTAAGCAAAGGAAAAATCTGGTTTAATTTCTGTTGTATAGTTCACTCTAAAGATGGGGTAATTCTTTTTCAATTTTATTATTGAGAATTTAATATAATTACAACATTTCTCTAAAGCCTCCCCTATAACCAACCCTCCACAGTTTCATTCTAATTCATTACTTTATTTTTCCCTAATTGTTATTGTGTACATATAAGTATAGGTGTATACATATATATTCCTAAATATACCCTGTTCTATCTGCATGTTACTCGTTGGCACTGAACAACCAATTTATGTGCTCTTCCGTGGGTAAGACTTCCTCTCACACTTCCATCTTTTTTTAGTTACATACTTATTTGAAGCTTCCTGAGTTTTTCCTCATTCACTTTGGGCATGCTCAATGTCCTTGTTCAGCTCACTTTTGGGCAGTCAGTTGATGAGATGTTAAGGGTGTAGCTTTTGATATTACTAGGAGACACAATCTCACAGAAAACTCTCTGATCCTCTGATTAGGATGTATGTGAGACTGAAAGCAAGGAAAATATTCGAAATAGCTTTATCTCGTGCAAGCAGTATTAATTAGGATTTAAACTAACATAACAGAAGTATACGGAGACAAAAAGAGGATATTAGAGGAATACTTAATTAGTCAACATAGAATTAATTTTATAAGTTGTATACAGCAAAGTGCATAAACTAGGATAGTTTATTTGAATGCCATACAAACTTTCAAATTAACTTTTATAAATAATTCCCAAATCTTTACATTTACCATAAAACACAAAAGAGCAGCAAAATATATAACACCAATTTCCGTTTCTGACCATTCCCTGAGAACACTAAAGTGAGTGGTAGAGGTGAACTGTGGAAATGGAGACACAAGTGGGAGAAAGACATTTCATGTAGATATTTCACATCCCAATTATTTACCAAGAAAGTCTATAATACTCATAATTCCATGTATTAAAATAGAAATGAATTTTCCTTATCTAGGTTTATGTGTTCTCTGAAGAGCCAAAGACCATTTAACAACAAAAAAATATATATACTACCAGGCATGAGAAGTCATCTTTTGAAATGGTGGTCCTACTTTGTAAAACAGCTAGTAGGTTTAAATTCCAGTACAAATTCCTTCATATCTCAAAAATAGTTTCCTTCTATACAGTGGAGATTGTAGTATTTTCCCAGCAGAGGTGTTATCTTTTCACAGATATTGGTAGATTGATCATTATAAAATATTGCTAACATAATAGGCTTAAATAAATCATTTTCATTTATGTAGTTTAAAATGTAGCCTCTTGAAAATACAAGAAACTATATATTATTACTCACCACATAAGAAATAATAATTTTACACTGAAACAAAACATAGGATCTTCTTAAAAATTATTTTAGCTATGGAATATAGGTTCAGCACTGATTTTAATAGACTACTTTTTCTGATTGAAATAATTGGTTAATGCTACATTTTAATAATCATGTGAATGCAATTAGAGTAGCAAAATAAATTCATATTCAAACATGCTTAGATATCTTTAATAAGATCCAAAAGACACAATATTTTCTGTCATTGTTTCAAAAATTTTACTTTTCATGTTAAATTGCTGAATTTTCAATTCAAGTGTACAAAAATTATTTGAGTAATTGACCCTCTTCAAATTATTGAAAACACATTAATGTGTAAAATGAGTAAAACTAAATACTAACTTATTCTAACATTTGGTTCAGTTGAAAATATAAGATTCATTACTTTTATAATGTACTTTTAAAATGGCATAGGAAGATGGTTGATTTGCTTAGAATCTCATTATGAACCAACACTTTCTTGGAAACCAATGATCCAGTTTGAGGATCTATCATAGTAAGTTTTCAGAGTTTAGAATTAATGTTTACACTATGGCTATAAAGTTTCTCTTTGAGATAGAAAGCCTGAGAACTAAGCTGGAACTTAGTTCGCTCTTCTTTATCCTTCTTGCTTACCAGAGGCTTCATATGCAGTTTTATAGCTTGCTCATATAGTCACTCCTGAAAGTTATTTTCACTAATATGTATTTGAGTTTGTGAGTCTGAGTGTAGGAAGGGAAGGAACAAGGGAGAGAAACATAATTATTTAAATGAATAGCCATTTGTCTCTTTAATTGGTAACATTTCAGTTTTAAAGAATAAAACAATACTTCATAAATATTTACTTTTTTGAATTTTGAAATATGACTAACAATAGTATTTTATTTCTTCAGAGAATTATAAAATGTGTTATAGTATTAAATGATGTAGTATGGCATTAAACAATAATTCTCCAGGGAAATTGCCAACACTGTATAGATGGATGTGTATGAGATAGCACACATATTAGAAATGTGAAAGTAACAATAAGTAAGTGGTGTTATTCAACTACAGTCTACAAAACACCAAATGCACCAGTGAAGACTGGGACCAAAAGAAGCTAATCGTATGTTAGCTGCTATATTATGGCTCTCATTTTGTACTTGTAACTATATACAATGTATACTTGTATTATGAAACTCAGAAATAATACTGCATTAATCACACATTTGTAAACTACTTTTCCACATTTTAGATACAATGCAAAAACATCTGAAAAAGGAGAAAAAAGCTAAGAGGAAACTTCAGGAAGCCTTGGAGTTCGAATCAAAGCGCCGAGAGCAAGTGGAGCAAGCACTGAAACAAGCTACAGCTAGCGACAGTGGTCTGAGGATGTTGAAAGGTAATTTCTGATTTTCACTTGAAAGGCACACAAATGAAAACCTGAACTAAGAGAGAGACGAAGAACATGGCTTTGTCAAGAAATATAATTTTAGGTCACGCGTTATAAGTCATGAAACAAACCAAAATAACCCTTTCTCTGGGAGGTAGAAGAAAAAAATGTAGGTGGAGATTTAATGCCAAATGTATCAATAATGAGGTCCTCAAGTGGAATCAGTTTGAAATGAAATTCTAAATGCATCCTTGAAGATTCTACTTAAAGGGATGTAAAGCGGTGCATGAATCAAGGGATGGTAATTCAAAATTTTCCAGTTTTAAGTCAAGATTCTTGTTAATCACATAAGATTTCTTTAGTTGATTCAGACACAATGTGAATTAAATTTTCAAGTAACCTCCTCCACATAAATGTTTTACAATATAATAACTAGAATCTGTAAATTATTTGAGCACAATCATAACACATTTATTCATCCACTCATATCAAACTACAAATCACTATGTGAATATTGGTTTCACTTGCACTTAACATAAGCCAATATCATTCATTATCATAACTTCCATAGGGGAAATACACTATAATGATGGATTGCTTTGATTTAGTCAAATGTATCTATCATAATTTTTGTTGTCCTGTCATTAGAATGTGCTATCTGAATAGTTTTAGAGGCTTTGCTTCTCCTTTTATATAGACATTTATTTTCCTAGAATACATCTTTAGATTATCAAGTGATAAAAAAATATTTTTCCATGTACTTGGAAATACATTATTAACTACATAATTCAATTATAGTATGTAAACTTCCTTCCTAGCATTAGCAATAGAAATGCCAAAAGAAAGAAAGGAAATGGAAGGGGAAAACTAAACAAAGCAAAAACTATGTATATACTCACATACAACAACAACATCATAATTAATGAAAAAGGAGACTGAATTTGAAAGAAACAAAGAAAGGGTATATGTGGAGGACAGAATGTGAAGGCAGCAAATATATATATATATATATATATATATATATATATATATATATATATTATATATATTATATATATATTATATAACAAAAATAAGAGAGACAATGTTTGCAGAAATAAATAATACTGCTCAGAATCTTGTGTTATGTATAGTTATGTATAGTATCAAAATATTGTCTTTCTGCAATTTCTTTTTAGACAGAAAACAAAGAATTGTACCTTAATCCTGAATGCCAATTCTTTCAGATACGGGAATTCCAGATATTGAAATAGAAAACAATGGGACTCCTCATGACAGTGCTGCCATGCAAGGTACAATAAATAACATTGTCCTTACTATAAGTGTGCGATGTGTGCTCCATGGAAGCAGGGTGGCAAAAATTTCTATGTTAATAGATTTCATTCAGATAAAGTAAAGATAATCCCTTATACTCTGACCTAATTAACAATCTACAATGATCTTCATTTGAGAAAAACATATGATATGACTTTAAAACTCCTAACAGTGCAATTACTTAGGAATTTCATAGATACAATGTGAGCAAAGTTCTCCCAGGTTTACTACTGACAGGATACATATTTAGATGTTATTTACATCTAAAAGAAACATTTCATAAGCATAATGAAAATGTGACATATATTTCACTGCTTTTCTGTTTGTAAACACTACAAGTGGATCTGTTTATTATAGTTTCTTTATTTTTATGATGCCTTTAGATGACAGAAATAACATTTTTCCTACTCTCAGATAAGTAGATTTTGAATTTTCATCAATTTATTTTATTTTCACATAACAAACAACAGTTATGTTTTTCAAGTGTGATCAACGTAGTCACATAAGTAAAAATGAATTCATTCCATATTCATTAAATAGCTTTTTCATATTAATTTATGTCTAAAGAAACATACATTTTATATTGACTTTTTTCCAAACATATTTTTCCTAAGTTCATTAAAAATAGCAGAATCAGATACAATATTGTAAGTATTGTGGTAGTTTATTTTAAAACAAGAAAACTGATCATTTCAAAAATAAAAAAATAAAATTTCTTAGTATCTGTGATCAACATTGTACATATATAAGAAAATATAGTAATTTAATAATTACTCATTAGATATAATATAGACGTTTAAACTACATCAAATGTCATTCACAATAAATATGTGAAAATGTTGAAAAGTATCCATTCTCTTATCTTTTAGTCTCACATTTAAGCACTGTACATGATAAAATTCCCATTATTACTTTAGGAAAAACTAAAGTGAATATCTTATGTTAAAATTATAGTAGAATCTCAACATATCAAACAGAGAATTTTAGACCATGCATGGTGGAACACACCTTTAATTCTAGCATGCATGAATTAGTGGCAGGTGAATATCTATGACTTTCAGGCCAGGCTGCTCTCCATTGTGAGTCCCAGGGCAGCCAGCCCTACATAGGTAGATCCTATCTTCAAAAACAAAAGACTTTGTTAGAAAAAAAATTTTCTTAGAGGAATATATATCTGAAATTATGAACAGAATCAATCAAAAATATAGTTAGCAAAGTAAACTCTAATAATTGCATAAGATCCTTAATCATTTAGCCTATCATTTTAAATATTCACAATTGAAAGATTAATTTTATCTTCATTAATAATCTTTAGAAACTCTTTAATGCCTGTTTACAGTTTTTACAACATATTAGGTACTTGTATATTATATTATATCTAAATATATGTTCAATATGAACTTTTTGTAAATGTGTATTTTTTTCTAAATATACATCATATATTTTACATAAAAACATGAATGGTAAATCTAGCCATTATGTTCTAGTCTTGCTAATAGCTTTGATTTTTGTATGCTATAGTTTCTTTTTTATTTGCCTTGAACTGCTTATATATTTTCACATTCCTGCCCTACTCACTTTTGTAGGTTGGAAGATCACTTTCTCTCTTTGTGCAAATCAATTCATTAATGCCAATGCAATGCCATTGCCAAAATACATCTCCATCACAGGAAACAGCTCAGGCTTCATTGATGTTCTTTCTCTTCCTATTGTTGATAGCTCTGCTGGTTAGAAATCTATCGTTAACCTAGTGCTCTCTCTTTGAAATTCAATTAGTTGCACCATGACATCTTCTTAAGAAGATATAAAGGGAACTTGATAAATAGATTGTATAACCATTGTTAGAAGCAAAGAAATCATATCTAGTTATACCGTAGTGTCCACATAAATTTGAATGAAGACAAACTACTCAGGATAATTATACCTTTTATAAGTCTCATCACCTTATTTTATTTCTAAAATACTTTGAATGTTGTTTGACAAAAACGATAGCACATGTAGACAATCTCAGATAACAGAATTTAGAATTTTGTATTTCTGCAGTCTATAATCATACCTCCACCTAAAGGTTTCAAGGTGTTCAACAATGTGTAAAGTACTCACTCTGATGATTATGTCCGCAGTCTCAGGAGCTGAATTTTTGAGAGGAGCATATGACCAAATGTGGTCCAATTCAAGATCTTCTAACTCAGCTGGGGACCTGTAAGACAGCATATCAACCATCTTATCAGTCAATCTCTACTTCACATAAAATAAACATACCAGGTGTCATTAAGTGTACCTTCAGATCAATGATTTTTGCAAATGACCTTTAAGTGGCATTTGTGTGGTGCATTTTTGCTGATAAAGGCAAACTAAATTAGCACAAGTACAAGTGAGCTGATAAAAACTAAAACTGAACAGCGGTACCATTAGCTAACAAAGTAATATTTTTTCTTTACTGCATTCTGCCATTTAGTTATTATCCTATTGGAAATCTAATTATAATCCTTTTACTCCCCAGTCAAACTTCACAGTTTTTGCAAGCTTAGCACTGACAAGTGATTTCATTATATTTGATTGCCCATGCCCAGATTGACTTCACTTCACTTGGAGACCTAAAAGCCCTCTCAGTTTCTCAGATTCCCTGTTTGCACATTACTGCAACCGTTCCTGTAATTAATTAGCATGAACAGCAGTAACATGAACTGCTGAACAGGAAACAACATCATTTTATGATCGCAGGGAGACTTCTCCTTTTGCATGTTTATACTTTAGTTAACTTTTGTATGACCGTATTTCATTGTTAAGAGTGACTGGTAGAGTTGATGGTGCAAATTTCTTAAATTTTAAAACAATGATATCATTATCATCTTAATAATAATAAGAACACACACATAATATGAAACTACTAAATTTTAGTTAAAAGCAGGTAGTATATATGAACTTTTGAGTAATAAAATAAAGCAATAAAAATTAATTCAGAAAAGAGATCATAAGAATGTGCAAGGGCATAGTGAGCCACTGTGTCTGTGCTGGACACTTCATTAGTTTGCATAAAAAGAAAACAGCAGAATATGCTAAGGACCGATGTTTGTTAAGTGAGATGCCCCTATGAATAATTTTCACATTTGCTCACTTCATATTGGATTGTATAAGATGTTTGAACAGCAAAATGTTTTTATTCTGATATTTGTCTCTAATGCAAAGGAATTCTCAATAATTTCCTATCAGTTGTGACCAACACCACTAGCAGATATTAAATTCAGAATATTTACCAAAATTAAAAATGTTATGATAAAAATAAGCTTATTATATTTTTTTCAAAGTAGTTTTAGCTCAAAAACATGAAACCTAGAAGTTTCTTCAGAACAGGCACTCACCACTGAATGATACAAAGTTTATGATTTCTTCTAAATAGTGTACTCTACGATGACAATGACAACTTAAAAAGCAAAGTACATTTGACAGAAAAAGTGGAATGTACAATTTTAACTTTTTCATCTTGAAAGAACATTGCTTACAACATATTTAGACCTTGTACATTATATATCAAAATATATCTTCAATATGAACTTTTTAGAAATGTGTATTTTTTTCTAAATATGCATCATATATATTCTTACCCAATCACAAATTCAACTTAAACAGTATTTATCTTTCCTGAAACTTATTATATTTTCTCTTTGTTATTTATATACTTAGAGTATAAGTAAATATAACCATTCTTACAAATGGTTAAAGGTACATGCTGATAATTACCAGAAAAATTTCCCTCATTGTAGAACTGTGGTTGCACAATTTAGTGCAGTGGTAAGAAAATTGATGGAATGACTATAAAACATGATAAGACAAGAAAGATTTCTTATGAATTTTTATCATGCATGTATGATTTTTAAAATAGCAAAGAATTTATCTAATAAATGTCTTTAATAAGTCCCAAACACAGTGTCTTCTCAGTATCTCTTTAGAAATTTTACTAACTGCTTCTTGCTTTAATCCCATCAATTAATCCCCTTCATGTGATGTCTTCTACTGCGTTGGTGTGCACAATCTCTCTAATGCTGTCTATAAACAGTGGACATATACTCTCTTATAGAGGGGTTTAACGCTCCAGCTACTAAAGAGATTATAGAAATGTGAGTCACCTTAAATAACTCCTATCAAATATTTTCTTTGATATTAGGAGTGCTGTATTACTATCTCAGTCAGTGTTCCAATCCTCTGAACAGATACCATGACCAAAGCAACCCTTTAAAAATAAAGCATTTAATTGAGGATTTGATTAGTTTCAGAAGCCTAGTCCATTATCATAATTCAGGAAATATAGGGCAGCAGACAAGAAGATGATGAAAAAGTAGTAGCTTAGAGCTACAGAGAGAGAGCGAGAGAGAGAGAGAGAGAGATGGAGAGAGAGAGAGAGAGAGAGAGATGGAGAAAGAGAGAGAGAGAGAGGGAGGGAGGGAGGGAGGGAGGGAGGGAGAGAGAGAGAGAGAGAGAGAGAGAGAGAGAGAGAGAGAAACACCTGGGCTTGGTTTGGTGTTTTTGAAACTTCAAAGCCCAGCCCAAGTGAACATACTTCCTCCAAAAAGACAACACATACCCCAACAAGGCCACACCTCCTAATCGTCCTAATTCTTTCAAATAGTTGCAGTGCCTGGTGACTAAATACTCAAATATAAGATACTATGATGGCAATTCTTCTTCAAATCACCACAACTACCTGCAGAAATACCACTGCAACTGCCATCATAGATCAAGAAAGGTTATACCAAAAGTCCTGTAAAGTCCGAGTATCTTTCTCTAAAGTAGCAAATAAGAATGTTATTTTAGTTTCATAAGTGCCTTGAATCTTTTGTTACTGTTGCTGCTTTTAGCATCAGGAGGAATACATTTTAATTATTTTAAGCATTCAGGATTTTCACCTTGGTCAGCCATGCCTCCCATATTATATCATGCCACTCTGCTGTGAAAAACTCTTCTACTATGACACAGGTCA